TGCTGCAGAATCTTCCCATCCCTTTCACAAGGACACTCCACTTGCTTCCATGTCATAAATTCACTGACTTGCTTTGCCAATTCCCAAAATTTCTGTCAGAATAGAAAAGAGAAGAGGTGCTATATATTGAACAGTACTATTTACCCTGAACATTTTTTAAAATGAGAGCGAGAGATCTTGGTTTCAAGTCCAAGGCTTGGATTCTCCCTGGCTTTTAAGCTAGAATTGAACGTGATCTGACTCAACAATTCAGCTTCTAACTTTCGCATTTCTGTTTCGAACTGGGATGACTTCCCACTCCTCCACCCTGGTAAAATTGTTGTTATTTATGAATATAAATAGTAGATCATGATCTGCACTCAGTTTCTTTTCAAGGAGCTGGTAACACTCCTTATGCCCAACTTTTCACTTTGATGATGCTCATGCCTGTTTGTTTCACAGTGAAATATTTAGCAATTTTCACATCAAAAGTCTCTAGATGTTTAAAACTGACATTTTGAAATCCAGATGTCCCATTTTAGTTAGTTAATCTGAAATGCTCAATTTTCTTGCTGGAAATTTATCCCAAAAATAAACATTTCCCTTGTAGTGTGTTGATGTCATTCATGGATAAACTCTTTCAATTAAAGTTTAACATGCCTCAAGTGCATGTGGATTCCTTGAGTAAAAGGACATTCCAGATCATCACATAGTCTAGCTTTAAAACCAGGCTAATTCAGGCCAATGATTACAAGTGCAATGTGCTGTAATTTTGTGCGAGTGACTCAGGATTCTTGAAAGCTGAAAGCACCAGAAAACAAAGATTAGGCTGTCAGATAACAAGTGTGAAACTGGAGGCAGAAGAACTACTGAAAGACAAGGGACTTAAAACTCTTTTCACTGCTGCTCTATCACGTTTCTTCAGAAACAATCTCTGACTTACATGTATGAAAATACTGCATATATATCTTGACAAAGGATGAACTCACCTTTTACATGTGGAATTCAAAAAGAAGCTCTAAAATACTAATTTGAATGATTTTGTCATTACGTATAATAAACCTGTGAGTTGAAATGTTTAGATGAATTTGAGCACTGGAAAAAAGTTCTGACTTTTTTCCCCACTATTGTGAATATTGAAAGGGTTTCTATAAACATTCCATCTTCAATAAAACTGCTTTTTCCTGACTGCCTACCAGCTCCTGTGTGAAGTAACAGATACACTCAAACTCCAGACTAATTGTGCCCTCCCAGAATCCAGTGGAAGCTGAACCATGATCTGCTTCAGTTTTCTGTTAAAGGGGCTGACCCTGTATCAATACCCCACTCAGTGCTCTACTTACTTCAAAATTGACATGACCATTTGGAAGACGATTGGCACAACCCTCATTGAGGAAGTAAATATCTTTGATCAAGAGGCTGAAGAAAGGTATCACGATCTAAGGAAAGAACAACATTATTCTTAGTCTGGTCCTGAATCAAAACATAATGCTCTACAGAGAAAAATAAAAGGAAGTCAGATGGTACAAAAGGTAAGCAAAATACCAAAGGACTAAGATCTGTATGATATCTCTCTCTTTCACTACACAAAAATTTTGCATTCACTACATTTTAAAATACATGAAGTTTCTCTATAAAGAAAGTCCTCCCTTGGATGGTAAGCTAATCCCCACAGTTTTATTTCCAGCTTTGTGCCAAACTGCTTCCATTACTTTGAACTCTTCTTGGCATGTAGCTCCCTCAAAATCACAATTAAAATACCTGTTGGCACTCCACTGCTTGTCAACTGTGGCTATGAGGCACGTTTAGAACAACAATATGCTTAACTCATTTCATTTCTATGTCATATCCCTCGTTTTCACTTTCTCATTCTTCCTTGCAGATTCCAGAACATAAGAGCTCAGAGGTGCCTACTTCTTACATGTAATTCCTGCAGGGTATCTCTTAGTGCAGCTCTCTCTCTTGACAGGGACTTGCTTGGTAAATGAGGGGAGATGCATGTTAAAGCACAGCATGGAAAATTTGGGGCTAGCAGCACAAATGGCTTTCGAATTACAATTCCCTGAGCTCATGCAGAAATTGAACCTTGGCACTGACTGGCTGTCCTGGTTTCAGCTGGGATAGACTTAATTTTCTTCCTAGTAGCTGGTACAGTGCTGTGTTTTGGAGTTAGTATGAGAACAATGTTGATAACACACCGATGTTTTAGTTGCTGCTAAGCGGTGCTTACACTAGTCAAGGACTTTTCAGCTTCCCGTGCTCTACCAACTGAGAAGGCTGGAGGTGCACAAGAAGCTGGGAGGGGGCACAGCCAGGACAGCTGACCCAAACTGGCCAAAGGGATATTCCATACCATGTGACGTCATGCTCGGTACATAAACTGGGGGAAAGCTGGCTGGGGGCGCTGCTGCTCAGGGACCGGCTGAGCATCAGTCGGCGGGTGGTGAGCAATTGCATTCTGCATCACTTGCTTTGTATATTACTCTTATTATTATTACTATCAGCAGTAGTATTTTATTTTATTTCAATTATTAAACTGTTTTTATCTCAACCCACAAGTTTTCTCGCTTTC